TCGCACCACAATATGGCCCAGATATAATTGTTGGCCATGTGCAGTCATGTGTCAGGAAATCAAAGTGATTTAAAGTAAAAAAAAACACCACTGAAATCTTAGTGTATGTGTGCTGTGGGCAATTACAGCATGAGAGCACCAAACTGATAACTGCTGTGTTTGATTAACCCTGCATGGTGAGGATTCCATACTGACAAATCAGAACAGGCCTGGGAGGTGCAGAGGATTTCAGCAACTATAAAATAGTATGCAAGCAAACCAGCCTAATCAGTGTGCTTTGCTCCCAGCTCTGAAACAATGGCAGTGCATGAAAGGGTTATATTGCTGCTTCTTTTATTAGGTTGCAGCTGTAAAGCTCAACTGAAGCCTGGATTTCAAGTGAAGACCCCTCATTGGCCAGCAGGTTATCAGAATGGATTAGGGGCTCCCCAGGTGGTAGCAGCCAGTTATCAGGTTGGCATAGGTGGTCCCAAGGTGGCTTCACCCAGCTTCCAGGTTGGCGTAGGTGGTCCCCAGGTGGCTTCGACCGGCTTCCAAGTTGGCGTAGGGGCTCCCCAGGTAGCTTCGACCGGCTATCAGGTTGGTGTAGGTGGTCCAAAGGTAGCTTCGACTGGCTTCCAGGTTGGTGTAGGTGGTCCCCAGGTGGCTTTGACCGGCTACCAGGTTGGCGCAGGTGGTCCCAAGGTGTCGGCGACCGGCTATCAGGTTGGCGTAGGGGCTCCCCAGGTGGCTTCGACTGGCTTCCAGGTTGGTGTAGGTGCTCCCCAGGTGGCTTCAACCGGCTACCAGGTTGGTGCAGGTGGTCCCAAGGTGTCGGCGACCGGCTATCAGGTTGGCGTAGGCGCTCCCCAGGTAGCTTCGACCGGCTTCCAGGTTGGTGTAGGTGCTCCCCAGGTGGCTTCGACCGGCTATCAGGTTGGCGTAGGTGCTCCCCAGGTGGCTTTGACCGGCTATCAGGTTGGCATAGGGGCTCCCCAGGTGGCGGCGACCGGCTATCAGGTTGGCGTAGGCGCTCCCCAGGTGGCGGCGACCGGCTATCTGGGCAAGCAAGTGGCTCCTGCTCTGGTTAAATCTGTGACTGGAATGCAAGTGAGCCCTGATAGTGTGAGTGTTGTATGTGGGGAGGATTCTGTTGTGGTGCTTGTGCAACCAATCCTCCTTGGTAATGGTCAGCCAATCAATGCATCAGACATCACCTTCGGTGGCTGCGCACCCATTGGGCAGGATGCTTCCGGCACAGTGAAGTTTCAATCTGCACTGCAGGCCTGTGGAAGTACACTGACGGTATGAGGGCTTCCTTCTGCTGCTTGCTGTGTTGGCTATACTAGTGCTAATCATGTTAATCTTCTCCAGATGACTGCTGATGCCCTGGTCTACAGCTTTGCATTGGTCTACACACCCAGGGGTATTAATGGCCTCCCCATTGTGAGGACCAATGGTGCTATGGTTGGCATTGAGTGTCACTATTTGAGGTGAGGATGCCCCATATGCTTTGGTGCTTCCTAGCCATAGGAGCCATTCATTCTAGTGACTGTACCAAATGGGTAGTGGTGGCTTAATGGTTAGGGAAAATCACTTGTAACTGATTGCAGGTTTGAGTCCCTGACCAGGAAGGCACTACTCCCTGGGCGCTGAATTAGCTGCCCCCTGCATGTCATGATACATATGGGTTAAATGCAGAGGACCATTTCTTTGGTGTCAATGACCACTGATCTCTAAATCATGCTTGCTCCTTAGGAAACAAAATGTGAGCAGCAATGCCCTGGTGCCAACCTGGATCCCCTACTATGCCACAATGGCTGCTGAGGCACAACTGAGCTTCTCACTGAGGCTGATGGATGGTAGGCAATGGATTCATGCAGCATACAGTATTTGGCTTTGCTCTGTGGGCTTGTCCTCAAGTGCTTGTGCCCTCTGTACAGATGCATGGCAGAATGAGAGGGCCTCCAATGTGGCATAGTAGGG